GGGAGCTGGTTACGCTTTAAAAAATTTTATGATGATAAATGAATTACAAAATATTTTAAATATTAGGCGTATCTAAAAATAAATATTTCATGGTGCAGTATGAACCTTAATCTAAAAAACTAAAGGCTTGTTTAGAATAATTTATAAATATTTTTTAATCATTATTTATGAAATAGGAGGTAAGTATGTGAAAAAATTTTATCGTCAACTTACATAAAATATATTTATAAATACTCATGACTGCCAATCCAAATAACTCTGAGTTTCATATTAAAAGTAAGTTTAAGGCCAGAAAAATATAAAAGTAAGTCTTGTGGCACGTATCCATCCAACAGTCCTACGTCATTGTCGGTTTAAGATTGGCTCCCAAACCAGCTGAAGGTTGAAAATTTTCAGAATTTGCGTGGGTCTACACGGAATGGTCATTTTATAAGCTTCTCTCTTATGACTAGCAGCTGCTTATATTATATATTTATTATCAAGTTCTTAATAATTTTGACTATATCACATTATATAAAAAATATTTCAAACAATGAAAAATCACAATACCAAGAAAAAATAAATATTATATTATTTATTTTTAAGGGTTAATTAATCCGTAAGTCCTTATAGTTTCAACGAATTTTGAGTAGGTTCCTATAGTTTTTTTCATTTTATTAGGTCCTTATACTTTTACCTTTTTTTAATTAGATCTTGTATTTTTTTTTAATTAAGTCCTTATAATTTCACTAAATTTTTAATCAGGTCCATGTAGTTTTAATTTTTATTTATTAATTAAATATAAGATTAATTAAATAGATTAATAATGAAATATAAAAATTAATAATTAATTAAATTAATAATTATGTAATAAAAAGTAATAGAATTAATTAATTCATGAAAATTTTTTAGAACAATTAATTTTTTGCTGAAAAATTAAAATCATTATAATAATTCAATATCTTTGAAATATTATTGTTTATAAACTAATATTAAATAATATATACTATTTTATGTTATATAATAGTACTATTAGAATTTATAAAATAAAGAATAAAAAATTCAGGGACTTAATTAAAAATAAGGTGAACTTATAAGGACTTGATAAAAGAAAAATAAATATAAGGACCTAATTAAAAACAAGTAAAAGTATAAGGACCTGATAAAAAGAAAAAAAACTATAAAGACCTGATTCAAAATTAGTTGAAACTATAAGGAGCTGTGGATTAATTATCTCATATTTAGAATAATGACATTTATTATAGCATAATAAAAAAATTCATGTATGTTACTTGTAAATTGTATGACACTTTACAAAAAATATTCAATTGTGCTAGATTTTCCACGTATTTCCTTCCTCTAAAATGTATAAGCTAGTAGAACGTGTTGTTCTATTGTTAAGTGTTAGGTCTCAAATCACTCTGTTTTTTCAAATTTACAATTTTTTTCACAAATTATTTCTATTATTTTCTCTTATTATTAAATAGAATTTTTATCCATAAGGATAGTTTTCAATACAAATAATTAAAATGATATTTTTAAAAAAATAACACATATTTTTTTAATAAGAATTAATTAAATTAATTTCTTTAATTTTTTTCAAATTAGTTGACTGACTCAATTTAAGGTTGGTTTGAAATTTTTAACTTAGTAATCGTAACTATAAGGTTCAATTCCATACGGTCTCATATATCAAATTAAATACTATTTTTTTCATTAGGCACAAATATTCTTATGTTAGAAGCAATCTTATTCAAGATATTATTGGACACTAAATGTGGGCATCTCTCTTAGGAAGAATTCAAATATTGGTTTACCACATTGTTGGGACTAACTCACTTTTACTAGACCCAACTCTCATTGGTATTAAATACTATTTTTTTAATATAAGAGTTAGATAACTAATCTATAGATATTAAAAAATTGGTAAAATTAATTAATTGTAATAAATGAGTAAGTCTTTTCCCTAAAATGTCATTATTAATCATTTACATTGGAGTCTCCTAAACATAATCATTGTATGGATTACTTGGGGAGAAATGGATAAATAAATCTAAAGTATACTTTTAATCTTTAATTTTTGTTAAGGTTTCAATTTAATTTCTTTAGCTTTAAAAGCATATTTTTAGTCTTTTAATTATAAACTATAAAGTAATTAAAAATGATAATATTGAGATCTTGAGGGTTGATAAATATTCCCAAATGCTAACATACTACCTCCAGTCCTAATTATAAAAGTTAGTTGATTAATTTAAAAAAATTAAAAAATAAGTTAAGTTAGTTATTTGTAATAAATAGGTGTTAACTTTCCTAAAATATTCTTGTTAATCAAGTGTATTAGTTAGAACTACTATTATTAAAAAAACTATTTTAGGAAAAAATGCATAATATAAGAGACAAAGTGGATTTGGGTCTTATATTTAGGTTCAAAAATAAAAATCCAATAAGGTTTTACATTAAAGACCGGAGGTATTATTAAACTTAATTTTTAAAATAACCATAATTATTGTAAAGTCATCATTCAAGATTAATAGTTTTAGAATTAAAATACTAAAAGTATGCTTTTTAAAATTAAGGGACCAAATAGAAATCTTTTATAAAGATAAAAGACTAAATATGTACTTTTATTCAATAAATAAATATTTGAGATAAAGTGGATCAACGTCTTATATTCACAATCAAATTGAATCTAGAATCAACTCTTATATTAAAAATAAAGGTATTTTTTTTTGAAAATTTGTTTACAAATTCTCTGCATATCAATTGCAAAAAAAACAATTCAACTATTTTCTTAAATGTCATAAATTAATTTTTAAAAAAATCTCACATTTAATGTGGGAGAATATGATATTAAGACGAGTCAATACAATAGTGATTAGTCAAAACGTGGAAAACTAACGGAGCCGCGGAGGCATCCATTTTATTTGGTCAGAGTTGGAGCGAGGACCTATGTTTGTCCAAGTCCAGTTTCTAGACCATCCCAATGGCATTAGGTCGTATATGCACACCATTTTTAATATCCAAATCTTATCTTAAAAAGCAAGGCAATTTCATGCTCCTCATTTTTGTAAATCACAAATTAGTATTGAATCTTTGTATTAACGCCAATCCCTTTCCATGTCATTTTCATGTACCTGTTCAGCTTTGTTAGCTAAGTCAAATATATAATTCGTTTTTCAAAATGGTGAGACAATGTTCTGATTGAAAGTTAGAGAGGTGTTTGGCTCAACTCAATCTCTTTTCATTTTTTTCCTTTCTTGTGCCGTACTTGATATATATGAGAAAAATTTTGTCTTGTAGGATGTGAAAGTGATTTTTTTTCCCAAGTGTAATCCAAATTTCCACTTAATATATTATTGTGAGTTCCCATTCTGGCATAAATCTCTATTTAGACTACTATTACTAAAGGGTGTTTGGGTAGAAACAAAATCATGGTTTTAAAAAAATTTTTATAGTGTACAAAATAAATATGTGGAGGAGTTTGTTTCGATACGTGGAAAAGCACTTTTATACTAATCCAAACACCCCTCAAGTCTTTAAGATTCTAAATTGAGAAGATCATTTTGTAGATATCTATACTTTTATTTAATTTTCTAATTTGGTATTTTTGTTTTTTTTCTTATTATTAAATTCTTTAAGTTTACTATGTTAGCATCTGTATCAAGACTAACCGTACTAACAGAGTGATTATAGGACTAATTAGGGTGTTAACAAAGTAAAATTAAGTTAGGTAAAAAAAAGTAAAATTAAAATATTTAAAACACACGTGTCAAATAAATTTTTTTTTAAGTACCTATATTTTATTGTAATTTTTACTTTTTTATTTATGCATTTTTATTTCATAATTAAAGCATTTAATTTTTCTCCGTTGACACCATTAACTCCTATAATTTTGCTTGGTTGGGCCTATGAGCTCTTGTATAGTGCTAATTGTGCTAATGGAGCAAATTTAAAAATTTAATTAAGAGAAAAACTCATGGATACTGAATTAAAAATTGACTAAAAATATGACCGCCTTCAAAATTGTTTTCAAATTTTAGAAAAGATAAAAAAACATGACTTATGTATATCAATGGCAAAAGATCCTTTACCTCTTTTCTAGTGGAATGATCATTTGTCTTTCACACTTTCATATTTAGCTGGAAAAAAAACACGCTTTCATACTAATCATTAAAATTAATCATGATTTTGTGGCCCCGGAGTGGGGGTGGGGTGGGTTGTTAAAACTTAAAAAGTGTTTGAATAGAAACCAAATCATAATTGTAAAAATAATTTTATGGTATACAAAGTAATTATGTGAAGAAATTTGTTTCGATTTGCAAAAAAAAATATTTTTTAAAAGTGCTTCTGAGTATCTCCAAACACCCTCTGAATCCAAAGTTATATATCCTCTCTTCAGTTTTGTCTAGATGAGTCACATTTTAGAAAAATGATTATCTTCCCCATAAGTCAATTTGCATGAAAAGACGGACTATTAATTGTTTTTCTTCCAAATTTAACCTTGTACAATTTTATACCTGTAAGATGAGAATTTGCATGTGAATGGAAAAAAAAAGTCTTTTTAATAAAGAAGAATTGAGAAATTTTTTCTTCGTTTTTTTTCAAGAAAAACAAATAATTTAACTAATTTTTTTCTTGATTTTTTTATGTAACTAAAAATGATTTAATCTAAAACCTATTTAACTAATTTGATTAGGTTAAAAAATTAAATAAGTTAGTCAATTATAAAAAATATAATATGTTTTTCTTAAAACATTATAATCATTTTTTTTAATGTCTTCCATCTCTCTCTTGTTTGATTATGATTAAAGAGGTATCAATGGGATAGTATAAGAAAAATTAACAAATATAAAAAATAATTTTTATATTTAAAACTAATAAAATTGGACGGATTCCGAAGAATCTATTGACAATCATTTCATCCAAACAGAGTCTAACTGTCACAGCTTCCAGGCCTCCATATTATAATGAGGAATCGCTGCTTACAACTTAGCTTTGCCTCCGCAGACTTTTGGTCCAAGTAAGCGCCTTCATAGACCAGAACCACCTCCTTTGGCGGGTGTTGTGCGCCGAAATGTCTTCGTCTTCCTCGTTTACACAATCCCACCAAACACCCTTTTCTTCTTCTTATTCTCGCCAACAATTTTTTCTGTAATTACTGTTAATAATAATCTGTATTTCAGTTGTCGTTCAAGTTGGTTCACGCTTCATCCTCATCGGCTACTTTAGAGCTCGCCGTTTCTCGTTAATTACTTTGGAGGTTATGAGGATGCCTTTAATTTCTGTCTGTTTCTTTCTTCGTTGAACTGCCCCCTGTTATGTTCAATCTTCAACGTTTTTTTTATTTCTTGATTGTTAATCATGTTATTGAAACCCATTATCTGTATCTGTTTCACTCGTTCTTCCACTTTTTTTGTCTGATGAAATTTCACTTTTCATCTGGAATTCGATGATTTGATGATGTTTCTTTGATTGTTTGGTTGACCCTATATCCCCGGTCCTTCATGCTCTGTTCATAAGTTTGTAGGCTTCTTGTTCTTGCATGTGTGTGTATATGTCTCAGCCATCTATACTCTAGTCTAATCAGATTGAAGAACAACTTAAGGGCTTTTTTCTGCAACGGTTGGTGAAGAAATCTGGACTTTTTTTGGGGAAAAAAGGGTCAAAACGGAAAACCCCACCATTAGTGTTAGGAATGGGTATTAGGTATTTGTTGGTACTGTTCTTTTCTCTAACATATATGCTTTTTCTATTCCGCAGGACAAGGCTTAGTGGGAAGGAATTGATTATCACTCAAGTGGATTTTAAAACTAGAGTTGCAGAATAGCTGCATTAAAATATGGGAAAGCAATTACTTTCTTCCAATTCCACTGTTCAATTTCAGAACGCCCATGGATGCATGTGGGGTATATTTCATATGCTTGATTACCATCGTTGGCATAACGTTAAAAGGGTCTTTCCTCACAAAAGGCATTACTTGGGAAGACATGCGAGACGTAAGCCCTTTTCCGCTTTCCATTCTTTATTCTTCTTTAGCCATAGTTCCTTGACAGTTGCTCAATTCACTATTAATATAAAGAATTAAGGGTGTCTAAATGCTTCACTCATCTCTATTACCTCTCTGCAGATTATAAGAGAAGGAACGCTTTGTCCAATGACAGTGATAGTGAAGCGCAGCAATTTGAGAGTATGGATGTTAAACCCCTACTGGTACTTTGTGATAACCCTTTTCTGACTTGAGATGATGACATGAACGTTCCTTAAATTAGACAATATGTACTTACAGAACTAAATCTGATGACTTACAGGTTAGGCAACGTAGCAAAAAAGTCACTGCAACTGGCAAGAGTTCTTTCAGAAAGAGGAAAACAGGATTGCATATTGAAAGTAGGTCCACAGAAGAAAGTTCCAAAGATGGGATCTTAAGCTCACGTAGTAGGCCACAGGATTTTGAGTCTTCTGATGAATCTGCAGTAGAAACTAGTAAACTTGGAAGGGATGTTTTCAGTAAGTTTAAGGAGCATGCTGATGTTGTGGAGGTTTTCAGAGCAGAAAAAGATTTTCTCCTGAAATTCTAAGAGATCTGGATGTGGACGCTAAAAGCTTTCAAAGCAAGAAAGCAAGATTGACAAAATCAGGGTCATTCCCCATAGCAGCATCTTCACAAATGCGGAATCTTAAATCAAGAAGTACCATCAAACACAAGCAAACAGAAATTTGGGCCTTTCCAAAGGGAGAAAAGTTGCTTGCTGGGACTCAAGCACTAAAAATGTTTGCAAAAGATGGTGCTTATATGAAAGAAGTGCCATTAGTGGGTGATTATGATATGGACAGTGCTATGAAACAAACAGGATTTGCTTTGTCAAGACCTTCAAATGGATTAAATCACAAACATAAAGGGTGGAATCAACTGGTTCTTCATCGTTTCAAAGTCATAAAGCAGAGGATAAAACATGCTCTTATGGAATTCACAAAAAATGGTTATCATACTTCTCTCGAAGCTTTCCGCCGTAGAGTTTCGTATGAAAATAGGCTTGGGAAAGAGGTGTCACAGAGTTTAGAGGATGGCGTGATTGAGAATGTAAGTTCAGATGAGATTAAGGCCCCTGATTATGACTCCAACAGACGTGAAACTCCCCTCGTAAGAAGAACATCTTCTCTAAATGAATCACTGGATAAATATACTCAATTATTTGAGCGAAGTTTTGGCAAAGACGTCAAGTGGCATAGCTCAAAGTCCAAGAGCTTAAAAGTCACAAATGCAGATAGCAATCACACAAGTGGCTATGCTCCAAAGTTGACCAAAAGGAACTTGTCTCTCCCTAATATTGAGTCCATAGGCTTCATTCTTCATGAGGCCATTTGCGATGCAAATGATGCAGGGAGTATTCCAGCAAACACTTCCTTGGATAATAACAAAAAAGAAGAAACTGATATTCCTGTTAAACGAAAATCAGCAAGCCTTCTTGTGAGCAAAGACAAACCATTCGGTGATATAATCGAGACTGAAGTCAAGGAAGAGGATGAAAGTAGTGGGAAGGATGAGACTCCCAATGCTTTACCCCATTCAGCTGCCGAAAATGGAAGTTCCTATCAAGAAAATGCAGAAATAGAAGTGACTACGGATTGTGGCAATGATATGATGGACATTCTTGAAGCTAGCAGTGAAGACAATGCAACCGACAATACAAGAGGTAATAAATATATGTTCATGTGTGTGAAGATGATTATTTTTTAAGATTCTGTTCTATTTTGTTGATGAATATAATATCAAATTAAACATGTTTGATTGAAAGAAAAATTGAAGTTAACTTTTCGCTCAATTGGTTAACTCATAAACAGGCACAGAGAGAGATACAAGAGGCTCTAGCGTGAATGATATGGAGGCAGATTTACAGAAAATAGAAAGCAGATACCCTTTGGAAGCAAAAGGGATGAACAGGAACAGTGACAGCTATTTCCTGCACTTGGAATCAGATATAATAAATGATTCAAATTTCAAATATGTGAAGCACATTATTGAGCTTTCAGGCTTCATGGAGAATGACCATACTCAAATGTGGTACACAGTGAACCAACCGCTAAAGCCCTCCTTGTGCAAAGAAACTCAATGCTTTGGAGAAGAGATTGGCAAACCAATTGATCATCAGCTTCTTTTTGATATAGTGAATGAGAGTTTGCTTGAAATATATGAAGGATCATCTACCCACTTCCCTAGGCCCTTCTCCTTCAACCTTCGCCTTCATCCTATACCAAAGGGTCATCGTCTTCTTAAGGAAGTGTGGGCTCGAGTTAACTCGTATCTGAGCTTAATGCCGGAGTTAGATCAGACATTAGATGATGTTGTGAGACGAGATTTGGCAAGTAATGGCTGGATGAACCTTCAAAGTGAAGAAGAGCATGTAGCACTTGAACTAGAGGACATGATTGTGGATGATTTGTTAGATGAAATAATCTTCTCTTGAGGTTTTGATTAGATCTTCTAAGCTTCAAATCAAATCTAGCAGCTTGGTTTTGTTTGACGATATCAGTCTGATATGGGAGTTTCGCAGCCTTGACACATGAACGCTCTCTTATTGTAGAAATGCTTAGAAAGATGCAAATTCGAGTGATTCTGTAGGGCTTCAATTTTTAACTGACTAGTGTCAGCATAGATGGGAAACAAAGGGGGGATTCTTTGTTCATATTCTTGTTGGTACGGTTGGTCGATGTTTTTTTTGTAGAGTTTGTTATGGAGTTGTGTGTAATTTCTATGTAAATAATCTATATGATTGCTCGAGTTAAATGCTAGGATTTGTAGCCTTTTTTGCCCTGTATTGGTTAAGACAAGGCCCTATTTCCAATTAAAAAAAAAAAAATACTTACACTCTTCTTTTTTTTTCCCAAAAAAAAAAAGTATAACTCTTCCAAAATCAAGCCTCATTTTTCATTTATCAATAATGAAGCTTCAATCATAGAGAAAGAAATCTGTATCATCAAATGCTAAAGCATGAATAATTGCAGTAATTAAAAAAAAAAAAGTATGAATGGTCGTAAAATTTCATGTAACTAAAGTTATAATACTGAAATGAGTCATTTCATTTCATTTATACCGTCGAGTGTGTATAAAAAATGGTAATTATATTTATGCTATAGTATTAATAAAAGCATGATTTTTTCCCCATCTATTAATAAAAGTGTTAATGGTCTAGTAAATATATGAATTTCTTGGGAATCAAAAACTAACAGGATTTCTGCTTGGGAGAACTCTCAAAACTATAATTTTGATCCAAAAGTAAATTCGGGATCTAAAGCATTTCAAAGCAGAGTAGCCTAACAGGGTTTCAAAGATCAAAAGTAATTTTTACCTCCAAAGCCATGATTTTGATATAAACAAAATGGGGATAATAGCTTTTGAAAACATCATTTGAGCCCCAATTATGGTTAGTGGAGATATATATACAAATGTATGAGGGCAATTAAGTTATTTCCTTTAAATCCTTTTGACTAAATTAGACAGTTTAATATAACAATTAAATTAGTTAAAATAATAAATATGTAAAAATTGATGTTTATCTTTTTCGGTGTGTCCTTATTTAATAGTAAAAGGTAAATACAAGAAGGAAAGAAAGGGAAAAAAAACTTGTAATTGTGAAATCCCAATTCACGTCTCAATACTTCAAAACCCCCAAAAGAAAAAGTGATACCTAATCTAATATTTTGCAAATGTAGTTAAGTGACCAAAATACCATTGTTTTAAAATTGTCATTACTAGTAAATTTTTCGTTATTTGTTATTCAAAATTTGTCATTTTCAATTTACAACATATTTTCAATTTACAACATATTATAATAACTTGTCATTGCTAATTTATTAAACTTTTTAAAATAAGAACATTTTAATCATTTAACTATATTTGTGAAATATTAAAACAGACACAAGTTCTTCCCTGAGATTTTAATGGGTGAATGGGGATTTCACAATTTTCAGGGTTTTTTTGTCATTTTTCCAAAGAAAAATACTAACAATAAAATAAATGATAAAACATATATTTAATATTTAATGTTTAGAATTAAGATACTTCGTGTGTCCGTCTCCCTGACCATTAAACGCCCCCGTGGCCCATCGCACGGCAAAGTTCAGAACCCTAACTCTGCATTCAGCCGCGGTTCTCTCTGTTCCGCCATTGCCGTTCCTCTGTCGTCAATACTCGCGGGCGCTGCTGCCCACCATTCATTTACATTTTTCAGGGCGTTTCGTTGGTTGATCAACCATGGACAAGAGCATGTTAGGAGACCTGGACAACCTTCCAGAGGAAGATAAGCTCAAAATGGCTGCCATGATCGATCAGCTCCAAATCCGAGACAGGTTCCTTCACTCGTACTAATATTTTCTGTGTTTTTAGCCCTTGTAATTTCACGCATTTTGTTCTTGTAAGTCCGTCTTGCTAATCGAGCTTGGGGCTCTGATATTCTGCGAAGATGGGATTTGCCAGTTTGTCGGTTTAGTTTTTTGTGCGTATATTTGCATCAAAGGTTACATGACCGTCAGATTTTGACTAGCATTCCAATTCTGGGGCTTCACAGTGACTTAGTAACTCATGAGTATCACAAAGGTCTTAATTCTTGTGGTTCTCTTCCTGTGAAGCCAGAGTGATGTTCTCCTTAAAACCAGTTCAGCAAGCCCATGTTGCACCTGGACGTTTTGGGAAAACATTTTGTTAGAGCTTTTCCTTTTTCCTTTTTATTGATCTTAGCTGTTATCAACTAGCCTTTGCTAGCGGTTGTCTGAAAGTTAAATTCTAGTCCATTGTGCCCAGTAGTCGCCTTTTCTGAGCGCTGAAGGTGCCCCGTGTTGATCCATAGAATGTACTTTTTGGTTCTTGCCTTGTTTCTCACAGTACCTCTGATCAAAGGAAAAGATTAGATATTTAAACTTAGTCTACCAGCATTTCTGTCTCGTAGTTTGATTAGATTTGTCCACCAGAAATGTGACTAGTCAAATTTATTAATAATTACTCCCTCCAGTTCTAAATATGCAACTAGTAGAGGGGTTTGTTTTAGTCTTTAATCCACTTTGTTCCCAAATTTATAATTTACAACTAGTAGGGCGACAGTATAAATATAATTTGGTTATTTCTATGCTGCCATCGGGAAGTTACTCTCTCAATCTCTTGGTTGTTCATGTTGAACCATTGCTTTGGTTTGAGATTGGAGTATGATTTGCAACAACGTAATTGCAGTCTAAGAATGTACAATTCACTGGTGGAGAGATGCTTTAATGATTGTGTCGACACCTTCAAGCATAAATCCCTGCAGAAGCAAGAGGAAAGCTGTGTTCGAAGATGTGCTGAGAAGTTTCTGAAGCACTCCATGCGTGTTGGCATGAGGTTTGCAGAGCTCAATCAAGGAGCAGCTACACAAGATTGAGAACTGTAATTAAGCTACGATCTTATCAGACATGGATCACAGGCCCCTTTGAATTTACAAAAGTTAGAAACTCGGCCTTGCCTGTGATTTGCTCTTTTATAAACCGTCTTTTTTTCCCCAGGAGGTTGTTTAATTTTCTGGTCAGTAATTTTGCTTGTTCAATTATGCTTTTGCTCTTTAGATATGAGGATACACTGTGGCTCTTTGAATCTCAGGGTTGCAATGTGCAATGAAAAGAAATTCGTAATGAATAAATTTTGGTTTTATGACCATTGTGCCTCATTCATGGAGATTTTGGTTAGCCCTTCTTCCTTCGATGATTATAAAAAAGAAAAGCTTACAAGAACACTTACCATCGATGAAGATAATATTGTACTGTAATAAAAAAAAAAGGAAAATTGCAATTAGGTCCCATTCAAGAGAATTAAATACATAAAAATCCTTTGAAATAATAAAATTATTCTGAAATTGTAAGAGATTTTTTTGCTATAAATTTTATTTGTTTAATTACTAAATTATTATTATTTTTAAATTTGCATTAACGACTGAAAGAGCAGTGGTTGACAACTTAAGGTGTAAAGATTGATAGCTATCGCAGCAGATATTGATAGCTTATGCATTACATTTTCTGATATGCTAAGAAAATATGTTGTTAATATCTGTCGTGAGAGCTGTCAATCCTTACACCTTAAGTTGTTAACTACTGTTCTTTCAGTTGTCAATGCAAACTTAAAAAAAAAAATATCATAAGAGTAATTTGTAATTAAATAAATAAAATTTATTGTAAAAAAATCTTTTAGGATTTCAGAATAATTTTATGATTTTAAGGAACTTTTTATTCTTTAATTCCCTTGGGGGGATCTAATTGTAATTTTCCCATAAAAAAACTCGAAGGCAATGAGCATATGAAATAAAATAAATATGAAATTACAATAAACGTCTTACTCTTCGTTAACCCATTTATTTTACCCCCATGATGCTTGGATATACAAGTTGTATCCAAGCATCATGAGAGTAAAATAAAAGGTTAACTTTTTTTTTTTAATTTTCTTATATGATGTACATGAGAATATACCTGTATAAATTTAAATTAGCTTATTTTAAGTGATTTTATGCTTTATGAAATGTAGAGTGCGAAATAATAGAAAGGAGCTCCACTCCTAAGCGTGGAATCACTACTCAACCTTATTTGAAGTCTCCCAATAGAGATCAGTTGAAGAAATCCTGAATGGTTCACTTGACCTGGACATTCCATTCCCTCCCTCCCTCTGTGAGATCAAAGCAGTTTGGCAGTTTCCAAGTGAGTGTTCCTGAGGGTTTTCATGCAAGCTTCTTTCAGAAGCATGGGGACTAGGATTTCAGTAATCATAATATATTTACTACGGTTTCTGAACATTTCTGACTTGAGAAATACTACATCCCCCCCCCCTTTTTTTTTGATGAAAAACAACCTAACCACATTAATAAAAAAATTGGTTAAAATTATTTATGAAAAGTGTAGCTTACAACTCAACCTTGTAATACCTGACATTGACATACCGAGGCTTTTAGGTTTTTATTTTCCCGGCATCCTTTTATATTTAGGTATCTGGCTTTAACTACCTCCTTCCCCTTCATATAAGGACGCGCTACAGAGAAAATCCAATGGCTGCTGGTGCTCAACCACTAATGGAGAAGACAAATGTAATTACGTAACTTGTGCAAAGGCAAAGTGACTGAGCAGAGCTTGTCCGCTTTCCACAAGCACACCACTTGTCTCCATTTCATACATGCAAATACGTGTACGTAAACACAATCAACTCATGCGCTCTTCTTCAATTGCTACTTTTCTTAATTTTATATTTTGTGGAACTTACAGGGCAGGTGAAAATATTATTTGTTTGACAGATTCTGCAACAATAATCAAATATAGCAGACGATACTCCCTTCATTGAGAAGTAAGTATTAGTATTATATGTAAAACATATTTTATATGTTCATCAATTTTTTCTAATTAACCCCCATTGATGTTTTTCAAACAATAATCAAGTAAAAAAAGAAATAAAAAAGAAATAAAATGCTTAAAATATTTTTTTAAAAAACTTATTATATTAACTATTAACTAATTTAACTAATATTTTTAATCTATTTAAATTAGTTAATTATATCTCACATCAAGCACAAGAAGCACAGGAAGAAGAGTATGTTATTGCGGTGAGTTAAACAAACAAGTGCATGCCACTGATACGGATGGTTCGGGACACGGCAGTGGTGGCACTGATTATTGCCCGTCTACTTGAAAATGATAAGATTTTTTCAATGGGAATGTATTTTGGAGAATAAGATAGAAAATGCTTCTCAATGATACCAAACGAGTCTCTTGTCATTCTTTTCTTTCCCTTTTCTTCGGCTTTGCAATCTTTACCTTCAGACCAAACCACAAGGCAAGATGCCAGTCTAAGGGACCTCAAACTAAAATAACAAAATTGAAACTTGCAACTATCAACATTGCAATCTAACCAACAAATGCTTGGGACTTGTTCAGGATCACTCCTTCGTATTTCACTTGGAACCACTTCATTGCATCCTCCTTTGTGACTCGGTGCTGGATCCCAACACGAGACTTGCACCTGCGGCGACGTCCCACACGGTATCCAGGGCGCTCCAGAACAACATAGAAGTCCATTCCATAGATACCAGTAGATGGATCGTATCTGAAGTAGAGTAGCCAATTTTCAATACACAATACATAACAGTTTTGAAGATTGAAGAAAGAAACTAAATTCAGTTTATACTGCAAAGATGGAAGGATTTATGCACACAGCCAACGGACAGAAACCGGCTTTATTTAAATAACAGGGGAAAACTTCATGGAACTGAAGCTCAGAATTTCATAAAAGAAAAACTAATTAGCCAATAAAAAGTTAAAAACAAAAAATAAGGTTAAACCACACCCTGTAGAAACTTTACATGCCATTGCCCATGAGACATAGTTCAACAGATAAAACACAAAGCAGATGACAAAAATACTGCAATCTAAAGAGATTTTCAGCTTACTTGATCCCCAAATCAATATGCTCCTGAATGCCAAAGCCAAAACATCCAGTATCACTGAAGTTTCTTCTCAGCAGTTCATATTCCTTCACCTTCAGACCACTCTCCAAAAGCTGCATTGCCTTGTCACCCCTAACAGTGACATAGCATGCAATCTTTTCATTCCTTCTAATACCGAAGGAACGAACAGTATACCTTGCTGTCCAAAAGCAGACACGAAGAATGAGACTAACCAACAAGAGAGTGCAGCGAGCGTGAACAATAAATCCAAAGAACACTAATTTCAATCGCTGGAAATACCTGAAATGAAACCAATCATACATCTTTCTTTCGAGGTTTTAAGGATAAAATATGAACACATATAAGAGAACAGTCTTGAAGATATCATAATCAGAAGTCATTAATTTTTATTAGCACTTGAAATCCTTACTGCTCGAGTTCCGGATCTAAAATACAAATTTATCAGGTGATGTAAATAACAGGTGAAAAATGCGTCACTCAAATACTGAAGACTCGAGTGGCTACTCCGCTAGTATTTTTGCTTTAAGGCACATTTAGCATTCAACCAAAAACATATGCCAATATTTTTACAGAAAAAAGTCAAAAACCATGCCAAAATTCCTTAACATTATCATCAATGTGTAATAAGGACTCATGCATTACCATCAGAATGGTGGCAAGTTCTACAATTTGAGGTCAAACCATAAGATTTTTTTCACAAAGAAAATGGTAAGAAATATCACAGGGGCAGAGCCAAGCGAAGCATAGCAAGGGTCCAAAATTCACCTTTGGAGAAAACTGGGGTCTGACCACTAAGCTGCTCCAACACCTATTACCGAAAAGGGTCATTCGAATCAAAGGTCAATGGAGCCAAAAGAGAAAAAGGAAGGACCATTTACAATACGTGATGAATAAATACCTTAGCCGCTCTGGTGAGACGATCTCCACTCTCGCCCACTGAGATATTGAGAACGAGCTTCTGGACCTTTATTTCCCTCATAGGGTTCGCCAGCTTCTTCTCTGAAGCCTGCTCAACAAGCATTCCAGATCACTCAAAAGCAGAAAATGACTCAGTCATGAACGAAAAAGAGTGAGAAGAAGAGTGAGCGGATGAACAACATGCGTACCATTGGAAGGGAACCTGAGCGAAGATTTGCAGCGGCAGATGCAAGGAAGAAAGAATGAAACGAGAAGCACTTATACGGAGTAAGAAGGTGACGGCGCTAGGGTTTTCATAGAACGAAGCATTATTAGAAAAAAAACAAAAAACAGTTTTAGGGCCTTCGCTTTTTGTTAGCCCATGTATTTTTTAATTTAATTTTAATTCAATCTCACAAATTGTTTAAACTTTATTTTTATATTTTGATATATTGTGCGTTTGAATTTTATTTTTTTACCGTAAATTAATTTTATTCATTAGGCTTCAAGGTAAAGAATTTTATTTATTCACTGAAGAATGAAATAAAGTTTTTGAGTTATATATTTTAATTTGATATTATAAAAAAATGAAAACACTTGAACTTGGGAAAACATTTTTTTATATTAAAATCTATGAAAAGAGGGAATCTTCTAAATTAAAAAAAAATTAAAGGGATTATATTTATAACAAATGTCACGGGAGACCGAGATCAGCATTCATTCATTTGATATATGGACTTTAAAACAAGGAAGTTGATTTTAAAATAAAAGAATTACAATGACGTCTTAAGAAAAGAAAATAATTGTTTGTAATTTTAATAATAAGTGAGTAGTCATTATTTAATATTATGAAACTTGTTATTGTAGGTTACTCTATTACATTAGGATTTTTTTTTATAATTACATTCCTTACTCAAGATTTCATAATTATTCTCCTTTTAAAACCATATCCTTACTATTCTTAGACTTAGGACTTTTATCTTTCCGTTGGTTTTCTTTTTAACCTTTGTACTTTAATTTTAGGGTTAATATAATCTTTGATCTTTCAAATTTATCCTTATTTTGATTTTGGTCCTTCAAATTTATTTTCATTTATAACATTAATCCTTATAATCTAATAAAAACTTGGACTAATTTGCCCCTTTGAAGGACCAAAACTAAAATGAGGATAAACTTGAGGGACCAAAAATTATATTATACTAAATTTTATTTGTAGTTAGTTTTTCTTTTATCAAAGAAAAAATTAGAAAGGAGGTCGATGCCCCTTGAACAAGTCAAAAGATTTTTTTTTTGGGTCAACAGTTGAAAATTTTTTCATTGTTTAAGTTAATCAAAGTTTTAAAACTATAATATTGATTCTGTTCTTCATTATTGAAAATGGCATGGTTAGGAGGAAAGGCATCATCAATCACTAACAAAGATCAAACTCAAAACACTATTGCATAAGCTTAACCCAAACGCAATTTGACTTGCAGCAACCAAACCATGAGTTCAGATAATCCATGTCAATAGTTAGCGAAGCACAATTTGTCTTGTCTAGATAATTCAAGCAAAAACAAAGATTATCGTTAGTAGTTTGGTAACATAGTGATATGAAAACTCCCATTCAAATGGAAAGTTGCAAATTCGGCTTTTTTTTTTTTTGGGGTAGACACAGATTTTTTTTTTTTCACTTGAAGACAATCCTACTTGAGCCATTATCAAATATTAAATGTGAGCATCGAGAATTTAATCTTTGATTCACCATGTTATGGGAAACTAATCTCTTCAATTTAAGGGGTGTTTTGATAAACTCAAACTATGGTTTCGAGAATAGCTTCTGGATAATAGCTTGTTGGGAGAATAAATTTTGTGACTAGATTTTGAAAAAAAAGTGATTTTGATAAAATGAGAATATTTGGATAATTGTTATCAAAATCTTTTTTTTCATATACAAATTACTAAAAAAGACATAAGCTAATATGATAATTAGATAAATGATAGATTTTAATTTATATTTTTGTTTGAAATAATAAATTTCTAAATAATAAATTATATATGAAAAAATATAATTAATATTATCTCCGGTCCTTAGTATAAGAGCTAATTGGGTATTCCATTTGATTTTGAATATAAGATATCAATCTATCTTGTCTAATATATTTATCCATTTTTTTCAAAGTAGTCCTTATGTTAGTTTGCACATGTTAAATGTTACATTAAATAATAATCCCAATGCATATTGTTAATAGGTGTTTTAGAGAATGCAACACATATTTATTATAAATAAATAATTTAACTAATTTTTTTAATATTTACAAATTAATTTTCTAACTCTTACATTAAGGATCAAAGATAGTAATTAATATGTGTATATATATTTATATCCCAAACCATGGTTTTATACCTTCAAAAGCAAAAAAAAAAAAATCATTTTATAAAAAACCATGGTTTCATACCCAAAACCATGGTTTCCAAATGAAAAGTGATTTTGGAAAAAAATTATGGTATTTGATTGCTTTTATACAAACCATAGTTTCAAATTGAAAAGAGATTTTGAAAAAATATATAGTGTTTGGATGTTTTCTCTTCAAATCATGGTTTTCTCTTCAAAACTATGGTTTGAAGAAAAACCCAAACATTCCCTAACGTAACCCTACTGGGGCAAGTTGGATTCTGCTTATAATGTCAAGTTGGGGAGGGAGACCCGGGGGGGGACAGAGAACAAAAATCCAACCACTTTTGGTCCAACCTGATCCATAGAGCATGATCCAACCACAAGCTTGGTCAAACAGGCTTGTTTTAACCTGACCATCATTTGGAGTCATGATTGGATTGCTATTACTTTAACCGCTGTCTCGACTATTTTGATTTCCTGTACTTTTTTTCCCCCCTGTTTCTGTTTGTGGGTGGGGATACAATTATGTTAATTGTAATGGATCCAGGTTCGTTTCCTTTTCAAATCAAAAGATTAGATGAGCAAAACAGAGTGCGGTAAATGGGCAAATCAAACAGAACGATACCTTCAATCTGGTCGGGTTTGTCCCCCGGGGGGGAGGGGGATTCTAACGAAATTAGAGCGCAAATAAAAGCAATCGAAAAAAGCAGCTATCATATTCAAGGAAAACTTGTCAAGAGCTAAATAAATATAAGAAACTCCTGAAGGGCAACATCTAATCAAAATTGCTATATATTACATCTGCATGATCATTGAGGAACCTGGATACTGCTCACGCTATTTTGATGCTACTCCACTCTCACTCAAGATTCAAATTTTAAGAAGAAACAAGCTCAAAATTTTGGGATAGAATTAGACAAAAATTACTAAAAAGACTCCAAAATCAGGAGAAGTGTATGCCAGCTTTGTTGAATAAAGAAAGCAAATATAGGAATTCCTGCAGACTGAGCTTGGATGACCTCTTCTCTTCAAAATCTCCCTCTTTTAGAACACCCATAACCTTGTCCTTAAATTCAGATTGCACTTCTTCAGCATCACCGTCCCCACCTTCGATCTCCATTTCATCATCTTCATCTAATCCATTATCCATTCCCATGCCTTGATCTTCCGTGGAGTTGCCAAAACCAGAGAAGTCCATTTTCATATCGTTTTGCTCTGTTAAACCTTCTTGTGAGAGTTTTAGTGATTGCACAGTCTTGTAGTTCTTTTCCAGCAAGGAGATCACATTCTTCTGCCTAAAAATTGAACCAAGTGTCTTGTTCTTTCTATTAAAACAAATACGCAAAAATCCGTCCCATTCCTTCTGCTTAACTTCAATGCGAGGTTTCCTCGGCTCAATTCGCACTACGGAGGAATCAACCTTTGGGGGAGGTCGGAAATTGTTTTTTCCAACTTTGAGGAGGTGGGAGACTCGAGCAAGGAGTTGAGTATTCACAGTGAGACGACAATAGAGCTTGTCACCAGGCTGAGCAACCAGTCTCATGGCAAATTCTCTCTGAAACATAATAATTGCACACCTAAATGCAGGTTGGTGGTTGAGTAACTTGAATGTGAGCGGCGAAGATATTTGATATGGAATGTTTGCCACACATATGTCAAAATAGGGAAGTTCAGTCTTAAGCACGTCGCCTTGCATAACCTAAACAGAACACAGAAAGGAAAAAAAATATAAGATGCCGAGTCATATCAAATATAAAATATAAATTATATTCCGTTCTCAGATATTTTGAAGGTTAGACAAGCAAGGAGAGAAAAAAAGTGACAAGTTCCTCCCAGTCAAACATCACTTTTTTCTTTTTTCTCTTTATTTTACTTATTTGTTTGTCTATAACGGGAAGCTGCTGCTATCTCTTGAAGTTAAGACTACTAGGAACTCTATCCAAATCCCCACCCATTTCAACTTCTTGAGCTAAAAGTATAGAGGCTTGTCAAACCTGGCTTCATGAAAGGCAACAGAGTAACTACTCAATAAGACAATTTCTTCGCACTATAGTCTAATAAGATCATTTGATGAAAGCAAGTACAGAATAACAAATTGCCACTTCTTGCAAAATGACATCAAAAGGAAAAGGGATCATTAATATATATATATATATATATATATATATATATATAACATCACTGAAATCATGGTCAGCTCCTCCTTCACCAGTTTGACGTTGGAAAAGCCCCCAAAAAAACAAGGGAAAAAAAGGCCGAACGCTCAGGCATTGTATCAGTGGTAGTGAGGTGACTAATCATGAGCATCCACAACTACATATCCAAGACCTTTAAACTGTTATAGCACACAAAATAAAGGACCAAACAAATGTTCCGTAACTCATAAGAAGCAACACTTATGTATTGATGAAGCCTCTATCTCTAAATATAACGATAGCCATCTCTTGCCTGGAGTCGGATATCATCTTATTCAAGTGCAACTTCCTATAAATAGATTAAAAATGGACTTCTACCTGGACTAACGACTAACATTCTAACAACATGGGCAGATTCTAAACAGCCAAACGTATAAACTATTAAAAAAAAAATCCGTTTCTAGTGACCTATCCACAAATTTCAATAAGGGAAAAGGAAAGCTCTCAGATTCTTATGTCCAACAATATCTTTAAACCAATGCCTAACAGTACAGCAAGTGTTTTCACGAATGGCCAAACACAGATAACCTAGAAGGCCTTTCTCTCTTGAGATTTCTCAGTAATTTTTAATCATCTAAGTAACAGAGGGAAAGAACTTAACCTTAAGGCGGCTGGAGTAAGGGGTACCCTGGAATCGTCTTTGAAGCTCGAGAACCATACGAGGATCAATCTCAACAGCAATTACCATCTTTCCAGCTTCCAATAACTTCTTCGTAAGATTTCCGGTCCCAGGACCGATTTCGAGGATGACATCGGTGCTTTTGATGCCAGATTTCTGGACTATGGAATCCACCAGCAAAGGGTTCTTGAGGATATGCTGACCCTTCGATTTGTGAAATGATATACCGCCTTGGTACGGCGTGTGCTGTTGCTGTGGCTTGCCTTTCTCCTTCCTGATTTTACCTCCCGCCATTGATCGGAGAGACACAGGACACTGCAATGTGGCGGTATCGCGACAACTAGGGCAGAAGAAGAAGAAGAAAACGGATTAGGTAAGGCCTTGTTTAGGTTAAATTTTGGGCCTCGTATTTGGTGCAAATACTCAACACGGAGCACAAAATATGCAACCCGACCCGGCCCAGGCTTAAATTTGTAATTTGGGGGGGGGGAAATCTTGGTACTATGCTTCCACTGAATTTGAATGAATAGAAAAATAGGTGGAAGAGGAAATTTTAGAAGACAAGAGAAATAAATCCCTGTTTGTTGTTCAGTTTTCAAAGTATGTTTTCAATTTAAAAAAAAAATTAAAAAAAGGGTTTGAAAATGTATTTTCAGCGTGTCTCGTTTCTTTTTGTTCTACAAAATTATGGAAGAGGCAAAGAATATTATATTTTTATAAATGATGATTATGCTAATAAAGCCAAATATTCTTTTGTCGTTCACTTCACTTCACCATTTTAGATATGTTTTTTTAAATAGTGATTTAAATTGACGTTTTTATTTTTTTTGTTCCAAATTTTGTTTTAGAAAATTACTTTATTTTCTAAGAACGTAAAAATGAAAAAAAAAAAAATTGAATCAAACCAGACCTAAATTTCCCATATTTGATGAGAAAATAAATGAAAAATGTAAGAGAAATAATAGACATCATGCCCATATGCTTTTGAGTTTTTACGGAAAAAATTTCTTTTTTAAAAAGGAAGATTTTTCAAAGTTACTCTAAAGAGGAGAAAAGGGGCAAGAGCCCACATTTTTTTATATGAATATTATCATCACTGTTAAACAGGTTATTTTCTTTCTTTTTTTCCTATCATTTTCTTTTCTTCTATTAATCTGAATATATGGCTAAAACATATTTATTTCCCTTTTTCCTTCTTTATATTCCTTCTTTCCATTTTCTTTCCTTATATTTTCTGTTTTCATCCAAACAAAGTATAAAATTCATGACTGGTACAAATCCATTGATTTATGAGGAAATTATATATATAAATTATATTCTATTGAAAATTAAGAAATATATAACCATTTTTAGAATATTTTTCTATATAATAAATTATATTGAACGTCAAGAATGGCTTTGAGAAAACGTTGATCTCAAGCCCTTCCTTCGTATATATATTCTTTTTTCCAAGTCCAGATGATATCGATGGCCTTGACAGTAGGATTGACATTAGCTTGGAAAGCTCTTAATCAACATAAGGAGAGGAGGATTCATTCACAAGTATGCTTCTGTTCCTAGCTTTCATACATCTTATCACATAGTGCTAAAGGTGATGAGCCAGATTTGGTATTACTTCCTCCTATTTATATTGCTCATAAACCAACCACACGTAATGTCATAACGATAGGGAGGAGGAAGACAATCAGGTGAATTGCTGAGATTCCAATAAAAGGATTTAATTATAAAAAAAATCTCAACCATAATTAAACAGTAAAAACATGTCATTTCATTCACTGAAACTCATCATAATATGCTACTCAATTGTTATCGAATTTTCGGGTGATTAAATTTTTTTTATTGGGACTTTTTAGTAATCGCCCAAAAAATATCTAATTGTAAATTAATAGATAGTATGATTGTAACCTCAAGCAGTCGGTACTAGAGCCGGGAAAACGGGCCGAGCCCGTCGGGCCGGCCCTTTTAGGCCCTGAAATTATGAGGGCCGGGCTTGATATTTTTCTCTTAAAATGAAACATAAGCCCTGGAGGGCTGGCCCTAGAGGGCCGAGGGCTTAAAAGGGCCGGCCCTGGAGGGCCACGGGCCGGCCCTTTTAAGCCCTTTTATATTTTTTTTATTTTTAAAATTTTTTTATATAAGATTAATGTTATTAATTTTTTACATTGTTAATAATATTTCAAATATTTAGTTATTATTATCATTTTAAAAGTAAATTTAGTTTTAAATAATAATTTATCCAATTAAATTTTTAAAAAATGGGTTAATTTGGACTTTAATAATGATTTGATTTATATTATATGCGTTGATATTTTTAAACTATATATATATTTGATAATAGAATATTTTTATACTTATATAACTTGTGATTCTATAATTTGAATTAGAAATTCATGAGTTTTAACAGCAATGTTTCTCACATTAAAGTAAAAAAATAGTTAGATTGCAAAATTTAAAATTAAAATTCTTATAAAGAAGAAAAACTTGATATTTTTGTTACGAAAGAAAAGTATACTTATGAAGAAAAGTAATTAATTATAGTGATGATGAAGTTTCAAAAGATTAATAATAGTGTTTATTTATTGCACAATTGCATTATAAATAAAACTTTTAGATGTTGTTATCTTGTTAATGAATGTTTTAGATGTTCTTAGATGTTGATGAATATTTATATATGATGATATTTTATATGTGACTTAATTTTATTCATATTTATGTCTTTTATTAATAATTTCATTGATTTATTTTTATAAAAAATATGATAAATATAAAAAATAGTATTTTTTCTTAAACGGGCCAAAAGCCCGCGGGCCGGCCCTGGCCCTGTAGCTTAAGGGCCGGGCCTAGCAAATTGGGGTATTTTTAAAATTCCAGCCCTGGAGGGCCGGCCCTTTTAAGCCCGCCAGCCCTGAAGGGCCGGCCCTGATTCCCGGCTCTAGTCGGTACTTACCCTTATAATATTTTTTTGGGTGGGGGGGGGGGGGAAGAAACGCCATGGTTGTGTCTATTGCAAGACTCACTTTGTTTAGTGTTTATTCTTTCACAAGCTCATGCATTCTTCTTACTTCTTAGGGGACCATATACTATACAATTTACAAAAAAGACAGTGAGTCTTCCAAAGCATGTTCACGAAGTGTCACCAGGTAACTTGTAGAAAAGTCACCTCATGTCCAATAAGCGCCAATACTTGAATAACTCTCGACTAAAAATGACATTTTTCAGAAAAGAGAGATAGCAATATCTCAGTCACACAATTAAAAGTATGCCATCTGTAAAAACCAAATATGTGAAAGCCATGGAAACAGAAGGACACTTAATCACTCCACATGGTATTCATCCCCAAAAATATGGAAAAAAAAATGTCATGAGGAAAAGTAGTTAAGCTAAATTTCAATTTTATACGTGGCGTTCTCCCAAATACAAAAGAATCAAACAAGTCCTAAAAGTAGCATCTACAAGGATGCATTACCACTAAGACTTTGCTCAGTTTGTTCACCCCACATAAACAACACATGTACGTGCATGTGCATCAATGCTTCAAGAAAGGAAGAGATGGCAATTATCTAGCCAGAACAAAATAAGATAGCTCTCATAAAAACTCTTTCCAAGCTCATTGCCGGATCAAAAAGATTGACGTTATTATTTCACAAGAACAAATATGTTTATACCAAAAGAATGAAAGACAAAGCTTAATTGAGAAGAAGCAGAACAACAGGAAGACAGTCATAACTCGGAAGAAAATCGCTAGATATTCGTAACCACTGAATTAATTTCGTTTGTAAATCTAACAAAAAGATTGGGATCGGAGACTGAACCATATGGATAATCATTAGCCAAATATGCTGCCTATCTGTATCAGCAAGGGAGAGTCAATCAAATGGGTAGTACTTGGTAAATATAAAATGAACTCCCGGGATCCAACAACATCTATGGCTGATACCCAACAAAAAAACAAAAACAGAGAGAGATGAACTTTGATATTTCTGTACAGAAGTGCAGGGAGGTCAATGCAATTGACTTTAAATTTCAATTGCTGTCAGACATTACGTTGGTTGAATATTACAACAAATTTCAACGTGAACACAAGGATCTAACCTTCTTTTATCGTCTTTAAAAGACCCCTAGCAAACATTTCATCAAGAACATTCTCTGCCTTATCATTCCAACCTTTCTCCAAAAGAGTTCCAATGATTGTTTCAAAAGTTACAAAATTTGGAAGGCATCCATTCTCTCCCATTTGAAAAAACAATGCCTTGGCCTCATCAAACAAGCCCCCTTTACAAAATCCATTAATCATAGCACTATATGCTTGGACATCTAGAGGATGGCCATTAACCAAAAGATACTGAAAAACTTGTTGAGCAGTGTTTAATCTACCACCCTTGCACAAACCATCAATAAGTATGGTGTATGTGTGTGTATTTGGCTGTATTCCTAAACCAACAATTTTATTGAATAGCATAATTGCTTCATCAAGATGCTGGCTCTTGCACAATCCATCCAAGAAGACATTGTAGGCCATTATATCTGGTAGATGACCATTATCATGCATCTCATAAATAAGCTCCTGCACGGTTGAGATCTTTCCTGATTTGAACAGGCCATCAATAAGAGAACTATAGGTGACAACATTAGGAACCAAACTTTTGCATCGCATTTCTTGAAAAAGATCCATGGCTTCACCAATCCTTTTGATTTTGCACAACCCATTAATCAGGATATTGTAACTAAAAACATCAGGTGTCAAATCACTTTTGATCATTCTATTAAGAACTTTCTTTGACTCATTAACATGATTCATCATACAGTACCCATCCATTAAAGCATTGTAAGTGATAACATCAGGCTTTGTACCACATTTCATCATCCTACCAACTATTGCCTCAGCTTTGGTTACACGCCCTTTTTTACAAAATGCATCTACCAAGATATTAAAGGTATAAATACAAGGAGTGATACCTTCCAGCCCCATTTTATTTAGCAACCACGTGGCTTCTTTCCATTGATCCATGCAACAGAAACCATATGTTAGGGAGTTGTAGGTAACAATACTAGGAGATATTCCCTTATCAGTCATTTCATGGTATAATTTTTTTGCCTCAATTGCAAGCCCTTCTTTACAAAGACCAGCTATGACTGTGTTGTACATAACTAAATTAGGCTTAACTAATCCGGTCTCCATCTTTCGAAGCAATTCAAGAGCAGCAGACGTTTTTCCAATTTTACAGAAGCCATTAATCAGGGTCCCATAGCTTACCTCATTTAACTGAAATCCTTTTGCCAATATGTCCTTTTGAAAGACAAGGGCTTCTCTAACGTTATCATTAATGCAGAGACCTTTCAACAGAGTATTTAAAGTTATTATATCTGGCTGACAGCCCATCTTGAAAATCCTCCCTAGAATAGAGAAAGCAAAAGACATGTTACCCAAATGGCAGTAACAATTGATCAAGATGTTCAGAGTAAATAAACACGGCATGAATCCCCTGCATTCTGCTTTTGATAAAAGGGAAATAGCAGTTCGGTGATGCTTCATCTTCGCGAGAGATCCTAGAATCTTATTAATACGAACTGTAGAGGGTTGGGGATTCACATGAAGCAAGCTATTAAATGAAGAGGTAGCCTCTTCAATGCACTTAAGATTTGGCGAATGGGAAAGAAATCTGTGGAATGCGTACCTTGCAGCTCTACCGTAAATCATGTTCGCTATCAGAAATTCAGATATGCTTTGAGGAAGAAGGGGACAATGGAGCTGTGAAGAACCAGACGCCGGAAAATCACAAGCGCTCGCCACTAGTCTTTTGCTTTTTCTGCTCCGCGAGACTGAAAGAAGGCTCACCTTTTTTTCGAGGGGGAAAAATATTAAAATTAAAATTGACCAAAAAAAACGGTTATCAATACCAATAAATTTTATTAACAGAAATAAAAAGTACTACTTTTAATTCTAATTATAAGACCTTATTTATTTTATAATTTGGATTATAAACGAAGTCTTATAATTAGGATGTTTACAAAGCAGGTTTTATGATTAGGATTGGAGTTAGTATTGATTTGATTCATATAGTTTTTAATACAAAATATAAAATTGATTAACAAATGATAAAAATAACAAGATGAGTTATGTGAATCAACAAATATTAAATCTCTCAATAAAGATGATTATTATTTATTTATTTCAGTTTTTTTCTCACTCTCGCTCTTCTTTTCCATTTACATTATTCAAATCAAATTTTGATAATTTTCATTTGTTTATTATTTCAAGTTTATAAACTTCAATAAAAATATTAAACCCACTCTCTTTTTGAGTTTTTAGGCTTCAATTTGTTAGTGGTGTGTGTGTGTGTATATTTTGTTATGTTTGTTTCGTACTTTAGACTTAAGCAGTTAAGCTAATAATGTTGGAACTCAGAATATTAATAACTTCTCGTTTTTAGAGACCAAATTGATAAAGGGGCCTAACACAAATATATTTTATCAATTTTTATGTCAGTCTTTCACTTATTGAGTTATAAAATTATTTATTAAAATTGTAGAACCAAATCATTTTAGCATTTCAGTCTTCTCTGGAATGCATTCAGTTTTACAAATAAATTAAGATTATAAAAAAATTGAATATCAATGAAAATAAAATAATCAATATTATGTCCCTCCTGTCAAGATAAAAATACTCCCCTGGTCTTTAATATAAAACATATTTCTTATATTTGTCAATTTTTTCTAAATTACCCTTATGGATGCTCCATCAATCATAATCAAGTAAGTGAGGGAGAAAGGATATTAAGAAAGATGATTATAATGTTTTAGAAAAAGCATGTCATGTTTCTTATAATTAACTAACTTATCTAACTTTTTCAATCTAATTAAATTAGTTAAATAGATCTTATATTAAGGATCGGAATAATATTAAGTACATATAGGAACAAAGAGAAAACGCCATTGCTCAATAACTGAATAAATATTACTCCAAAAATTATCATGGAGCATTATTTAAAGGTTTGGACTAGATAATTCAAAGCAAATAAGAACCATGTGGCTTAACAATATGAAAGTTATTATGTAATTGGAAGGTTGTGAGTTCGATCTTATTCATAACATCAAATTGTTTTTTTATTTTAGTTTGCTTATAAATTTCCATGCGATTAGTTTGGCTCTTGTATTTAGTTTGTTGATGTGATGCTTGCTTCTTTGTTTAATTTTATTGATTATGTTCCGCACTTATGAAATTCTACCTCTGGTTCTAAATATGCTATTCACTTTGTAGTGATTACGTTACAAAGTAAATTGTATATTTATATTTAGAACGGTAGAGAAGTATGTCTCATATGGTTTTTTTTTTTTTTTTGGTCGTTCTTGTGCATGTTCTCTATTTTTTAAAACCCTAAATTTTGGCCAATTCTGTTTTAAGAAAATCATTTCAATTCTTAACATGGGAGACCAAGTCCTGCCTAGTTTGCTATCAAACTAAGACCATATTATGGATATTCTTGCCCAACCTTACTCTCTGTCTAGACCTTACCAAGTGAGTTGATTAGACAACAAATATGTTTATGCCAAAAGAATGAAAGGCAAAGCTTAATTGAGCAGAAAGAGAACAACAGGAAGAAAAACCATTGAATTAATTTTGTTTGTAAATCTAACAAAAAGATTGGGATCGAACACTGAACCATATGGATAATCATTAGTCAAATATGCTGCCTATCTGTATTAGCAAGGGAAATTCAATCAAATGACGACTAGTTGATAAAGATAAAATGAACTCCCGGGATCCAATAACATCCATGGCTGACACCCAACAAAAAAAAACAAAAACAAAAGCAGAGAGAGATGGATTTTGATATTTCTGTACAGAAGTGCGGGGAGGTCAGTGCAATTGACTTTACTTCAATTGCTGTCAGACATTACATTGGTTGAATATTACAACAAATTTCCACATGGGCACAAGGATCTAACCTTCTTTGATCGTCTTTAAGAGACCCCTAGCAAACATTTCATCAAGAACATTCTCCGCCTTATCATTCTCACCTTTCTCCAAAAGAGTTCCAATGATTGTTTCAAAGGTTACAAAATTTGGAAGGCATCCATTCTCTCCCATTTGAAAAAACAATGCCTTTGCCTCATCAAACAAGCCCTCTTTACAAAATCCATTAATCATAGCACTATATGCTTGGACATCTAGAGGATGGCCATTAACCAAAAGATACTGAAAAATTTGTTGAGCAGTATTTAATCTACCACCCTTGCACAAACCATCAATAAGTATGGTATATGTGTATGTATTTGGCCGTATTCCTAAACCACCAATTTTATTGAATAGCATAATTGCTTCATCAAGATGCTGGCTCTTGCACAATCCATCCAACAAGATATTGTAGGTTATTATATCTGGTAGATGACCATTATCATGCATCTCATAAATAAGCTCCTGCACCGTTGAAATCTTCCCTGATTTGAACAGGCCATCAATAAGAGAACTATAGGTGACAACATTGGGAACCAAACTTTTGCATCGCATTTCTTGAAAAAGATCCATGGCTTCACCAATCCTTTTGATTTTGCACAACCCATTAATCAAGATATTGTAACTAAAGACATCAGGTGTCAAATCACTTTTGATCATTCTATTAAGAACTTTCTTTGACTCATTAACATGATTCATCATACAGTACCCATCCATTAAGGCATTGTAAGTAATTACATCAGGCTTTGTACCACATTTCATCATCATACCAACAATTGCCTCAGCTTTTGTTGCACTCTCATTTTTACAAAATGCATCTACCAATATATTGAAGGTATAAATACTAGGCCTGATGCCTTCTAGCACCATTTTATTTAGCAACCATGTGGCTTCTAGCAATTGATCCATGCAACAGAAACCATGTATTAGGGAATTGTGGGTAACAATATTAGGAGATATTCCCCTATCAGTCATTTCATGGTATAATTTTTTTGCCTCAATTGCAAGCCCTTCTTTACAAAGACCATCTATGACTGTGTTGTAGATAATTAAATCAGGCTTAACCAACCCTCTCTCCATCTTTCGAAGCATTTCAAGAGCAGCAGACGTTTTTCCAATTTTACAGAAGCCATTAATCAGGATGCCATAGCTTACCTCATCTAACTGAAATCCTTTGGTCAATATGTCATTGTGAAAGACAAGGGCTTCTCTAACGTTATTACTAATGCAGAGACCTTTCAACAGAGTATTTAAAGTTATTATATCTGGCTGACAGCCCATCTTGAGAATCCTCCCTAGAATAGAGAAAGCAGAAGGCATGTTACCCAAATGGCAGTGACAATTGATCAAGATGTTTAGAGTAACCAAACATGGCGAGAATCCCTTGCATTCTGCTTGGGCGAAAAGGGAGATAGCAGTTCGCTGATGTTTCATCTTTACGACAGAACCCAAAATCTTATTAATACGAACTATAGAGGGTTGGGGATTCATATGAAGCAAGCTATTAAATGAAGAGATAGCCTCTCCAATGCTCTTAGGATTTGGCGAATGAGAAAGAAATTTGGGGAATGCGTACCTTGTTGTAGCTCTACCGAAAATCATGTTCGCTATCAGAAATTGAGATGTGCTTTGAGGAGGAAGGGGACAATGGAGCTGTGAAGAACCAGCCGCCGGAAAATCACGAGCGCTCGCCAAAGTGTTTTGCCTTCCGTCAGACTGAAAGAAGTATCGCCGTTGTTTCGGAGGGGAGAAAAAATGTAAATTAAAATTGGCCCAAAAAATTGGTCATATTTATTAACGGAAATAAAAACTATTGATTTGATTCATTTAGTTTTTAATATAAAATAGAAAATTGATTTACAAATGATAAAAATAGCAAAATGGGTTTATGTAAATCAGCATTACAGCATATATTAAATCTCTCAATGAAGATTTTTTTTACTTCAGTTTTTTTTCTGACTCTCGCTCTTCTTTTCAATTAAAATTATTCAAATCAAATTTCAATAATTTTCATTTGCTTATTATTTTAAATTTATAAAATTTAATAAAAATATTAAATCCATCTTCTGTTTGTTTCGTGCTTTAGACTTAGGCAGGTAAGTTGATAATGTTGGAACCCAGAATATTTATAACTTCTCATTTTTAGAGGCCAATTTGATAAAGCGACCAAACACAAATATATTTTATCAATTTTTATATCTCATTCTTTCGCTTGTCGAGTTATCAAATCATTTATTAAACTTGTAGAATCAAATCATTTTAGCATTTCATTCTTCTCTGGAATGCATTCATTTTTACAAATAAATTAAGACCATAAAAAAAATTGAACATCAATAAAAATAAAACAATCAATATTATTTCCCTCCCGTCAAAATATTAAGTAGGTATAGGAATAAAAAGAAAACACCATTGCTCACTAACTGAATGAATGCTACTCAAAAATTATTATGGAGCATTTTTTAAAGGTTTGGAATAAATAATTCAAAGCAAATAAGAACCTTATAACATCAAATTGTTCTTTATTTCAGTTTGCTTATAAATTTCCATGTGATTAGTTTGGCTTTTGTATTTAGTTTGTTGCTGTGATTGTTTGCTTCTTTGTTTAATTTTATTGATTATGTTCCAAACTTATGAAATATTACCTTGGGAAAATCCCAGAAAAAGCTCTTGGAATATATCAAATCCCAGATTGGGCCCTTAAATTTCGAAAATGACAGAATGGGTCATTGACCCAATTTGTCATTTGTGAAATTCAGGCGAATTGACATTTTTGCCCCTGAGCAAAAGTGAGTAGTTATTCTCTAAACAAATCTAGGTAACGCTTATACTGTTCTAGTGATTATAAAATTCGTTGTAGTTAATAATAAGGTACTTAACAATAATAAGATACCTGACTATGAAAAAATGAGTAGTTATTCTCTATACAAATCTAAGTAATGCTTACATTGTTCTAGTGATTACAGCATTAGTTGTAGTTAATAACAAGACACCTGACTATGAAAAAAGTGAATAGTTATTCGCTATACGAATATAGGTAACACCTAAACTCTTATAGTGATTCCTTGAATCATTGTAGTGAATGAATAAATGAGGGCAAAATTGTCAATTCGCCTGAATTTCACAAATGACAGATTGGGTCAATGACCCATTCTGTCATTTTCGAAATTTAAGGACCCAATCTGACATTTCCCATATTCCAAGGACCTTTTTTGGGATTTTCCCTATTACCTTTGCTCCTAAATATAATATTCATTTTGTTGGGATTATACTACAAAATAAATGTTATATTTATATTTAGGACCGGAGGCAAGTATGTATCACATATCACCTCTAGTACTTAATATAAGAGTTAATTTAACTTTCAATTTGATTCTAAATATAAGACCTCAATCTATTTTTTATCATATTTATTCTTTTTTTTTAAATAATCCTTATAGTAATTACACATATCAAATGTTTGATCAAGTATTAAAGCTAATACACTTGATTAGTAAGAGTAATTTAGGAAAAACAATACTTATTTATTACAAATAACTAACTAAATAAACTTCCTTAAACTACTTAAATTAGTTAACTAGTTTTTATATTAAAAACTAGAGGTAGTAGGTTTTTTGGTTGTTCTTATGGTTGTCTCTATTTTAATTAGTGGTGGAAACAAGTTAGATGGCCTGTCATGGGCTTGTGGTCTAGCCTGCATTAGGCCTAGTTTGGCATGGCTTGTTTCAAAATAAAAAAAGGCTTAGGCCTTTTTAATGGCTTATTTAGCCTAAGAGGCCATGCCTAGGCTTCTTAAAAAGCCTGTTAAACATGTTTATTTATCTTGATTTTTATTTTTGTTTTGTACTTTTATCTAGTTTTATTTTAAATTGTAATATATAATCATAATTTGTTGTCAATAATATTAACCATAATTAAGATTTAAAATATTACTTATGACATTAAAATTTAAATAAAAGATAATAATAAAAAATAATTATTATGTAGTATATATATTTTATATTTTTTATTGGCTTATATATTTTTTATTATGCATTTTGAAAATTTTAAAATTATAGGCGTTTTCAATAGGCTAGGCCAGGCTCAGACTAAAAAATAAAGCCCATAACAAGTCACAGGCCAAGCTCAGACCAGCTTATTACAAAACAGGCTTGGTCTGGCCTGTTTACACCCCCAATTTCAATTCTTAACCTGGGAGACTAGGTCCAACATGGTTTGCAACCAACTAAGAGCATTTTATGAATATTCTTGGCCAACCTTACTCTCGTCCTAGACCATACCAAGTGAGTTAATTAGAAAAAAGCTAAAGTATATATCTGGTCCTTTAATTTTGTCCAAAATTTTAATTTGGTCCTTTAATTTTAAAAAGTATACATTTGGTCTTTCAACCCAAAAATCATTAGGCTTCAATGATGATTTTTTGTCACAATCATGGATTTATTGAAAATTAAACTTCATATGTTAATATTTGAGAATGTTTTATCAACATTTAAAATCTTAATGTCATCATTTTTTTAAAAAATTTTAGGGTTAAAAGACTAAAAGTATACTTTTAAAGTTAAGAGACCATATTGAAACCTTGTGCAAAGTTAAAAGACAAAATGTATACTTTAACCATTAGAAAACAATACTAGTTGTGAACGAAGTTTTTTTTTTTAAAAAAAGAAGACCGAACCGGCCGGTTTAATCGAAAACCCAGTGAACCAGTTAGTGGTTTGGTCTGGTTCATAGATTAAACCAGGGACTGGTTTGAACTGTAAAACCAGTGTGAACTAGTAAAAACCAACGTAAACCGGTTTGAATAATTATATTATTATTTGTCCTATTTGTTTCTCATTTAGCTTCTAATATCTCAGTCATTATAGATTTAAATGAATTTTAATAATAATTTTAGTATCAATGACTATTAATTTTAGTTAATGAGAAATCATAAAATCAAAATTCTCAATATTCTTATACTTTATTATTGTTACAGTCAAACTATTATTATATTTTCTTATATTTTGTTATTAGTGATTATTAGTATTGTTCTACTTTGTTATTTTCAATCAAATTATATTATTTAATATGATCTGTTTGATCCTGAGTTGATCCCAATTTGACTCACTAACCCTTGAACCACTATCTTAGTCAGTTTAGTGTTCGGTCCTATTTTTTGTTTCTTGGTTGAGACATGTTTCCTTGTAAATTTTAAAATTATTACTCCCTCTATTGTTTTTACAAATGACTTAATTGAATATCAATGACTTAATTTTTAAAAAATATCAAGGTCAAAGCATATACTAGGTCTTTTAACTTTATATAAAGTTTCAATTTAGTCCCTTAACTTTAAAAAATATACTTTTGGTTCTTTAATCCTAAAATTGTTGAGTTCAAATGATGATTTTTCATACCATGGTTATTTTGAGAATTAAACTTGATATGTTAGTATTTGAGGACGTTTTATCAACATTGAATATGTCAATATCATATTTTTTTGTTAATAATTTTAAGGTTGAATAATTAAAATTATACTTTTTAAAGTTAAAAGACTAAATTGAAATTATATATAAAATGAAACGACTAAAGGTATACTTTAGTCAAATATCAATGACTTAACTGAATTACGTAGATGAAAAATGAAAAATATTACAATAGAACTACTTTTATGTTGTAAACGACTCAGTGTTATGCATGTTTAGCATTTGGACTGAAAATAATAAACTATTATGGAAAGCAATAGACATAACAAGACTTGTGACACCAAAAATTATAAGAAAGTACACAAGATAGATCATAGAAAAAACTCAAGACAACAATTAAGACGCACATGTTAACTAAAACATCAAACCACAAACACAAAGTTGAAGCTAATCCAAATAATAAGATCAATACCAAAAGTCAGGAAAATAGATTTAGGCCCGAAAATTATGAGGACCGGGTTTGAAAATTTTCCCTTCAAATGAAAAGTAGGTCTTACTCGGCCCTGTCCGTTTAAGCCATTTTATTTTATTTTTTTAATTTTTTGTGTAATTTTAATATTATTAATTTTTTACACCGTTAATTGCATTTCAAATATTTAGTTATTATTATCATTTTAAAATTAAATTTTATAGAATGGTTTGATTTATTTATTTTTAGCCAATAATTTGTCTAATTGAATTTTTATAAAATGGGTTAATTTGGACTTCAATAATGATTTGATTTATATTATATGCGTTGATATTTTTAAACTATATATATTTGATGAGAATATTTTTATACTTAAATAACTTGTGATTCTATAATTTGAATTAGAAATTTATAAGTTACAACAACAATATTTTTCAAACTAAGGTGAAATAATAGCTAGACTACAAAATTTAAAAGTAAAATTCTTATAAAGAAGAAAAACTTGATATTTTTATTATGAAAGAAAAGCATACTTACTCGGAAAAATAATTGATTATAGTGATGATGAAGTTTCAAAAGATTAATGATAGTGTTTGTTTATTGCACATTTGCACTATAGATGAAACTTTTGGATGTTGTTATCTTGTTAATAAATGTTTTAAATGTTTGGATATTGATGGATATTCATATGATGATATTTTGTATTTTTGACTTAATTTTATTTATATTTATGT